CAGCAGACGTTCTTACCCGGGTCATCTTTCTTCCTTTTCTCTTCACGCCAGAGAGAAAAAGAAAAAAGATGAGCCGTTGTGCAAGAAATTCAGCTAAAAAGAACAGGCTTTATGCTTCCACTCTAAACGTCAAAATTGATATCACTCTAATGCTATTTTCAGTGTCTCTTGAGGAGGCATCTTAATAGTACAGTAAAAATGACAAACTATTGTATTCTAATAAATTTAAAAATACAACATACCGTAGAATTCGATTGCAATTGATTTGCCAGCCATTCTTGTAGTTTGTCCTGAGAACGCAAACACGATTCCTTGTAGGTATACCATTGATTAACGCTTTTCACACAATTTGTGCATATCCATGTGGACAGCTTATCGGTTGTCGAAATCTAAAATATTGAGCATATTCATGATCAAATAAAAATCTCGACAAAAATTTTAGATTACAAGTAAAAAAACTGTAAATAAAGCTAAGCTTATTTTATTCTACAATTTTCTTGTTTTGTGTTCTTTCCTTGGAATTTTGTACTTATATTTCTCACTTCAAATGCACAAAATATAAAATTTAAAAAAGTAAATGTTTGAAACCTTAGGTGAAATATATTTTTTGCTTCTAATAATTAGAGCTGATGCATTCAACAAAAATATTTAAACAATAAGGCCCAGTTTCACAACTCACAGTTAATTCTTAACCGAGGTTCAACTTATTCATTATTTCTTTTCAATTCTAGAATTGGAAAGAAATGAGAAACAAGTTGAACCTAGGTTAAGAGTTAATCGCCAGTTGTGGAACTGGGCCTAAAAATCTTATTGGACCATTCATGTAAAAAATATATACCTATATTTAATTTAAATTTTGAATTAGATAATTTCCTGATTTTATACAATCAAGGGAGGTGTGCAGTTTGAAGATTAATAAATATATAAAATTAATTCAATTCTCTTAATATTACTTTCTCATCAAATTATGAGGTCTGTTTTCTGTGGCTGAACTAGTGTACACTTTTGGAACTTAAAGTGAGATAGATATACGTTTGATATTTGTTTAAAGCGAGAAAAAGAGTTCTAGAACAGTTTAGTGTAGGAACAGAAAACAGACCAATGATTTTACATAAGAGAAAAAAATTAAATCACTTTTAAACTAATAAGAGAATTGTACTCAAATTTTATATAAATACTCAGATGTAAAAATAGAACAATTCATACAATTCTTGTTAAGTTCCTAATATTTTGAAAATAGATATTAAATAAATTCGTCGCAAATTAAAATTCCTTATAACTTTGGATCGCTTCAGTGAATTCAGTATTCCGAATTTTGTCATAAATCTCCGAACAAACGAAAAACAATTTGTAAAATTTTTGTTAAATTCCTATCCTAATATTTAAAAAATCAGTACTAAACATTCTTATAATACAATGCTTACTCTGAAATCATTTCTGTCAACTGATATCGTTTAACAATTCTCTTATATCCCAACATGTATCACACCTTTCAAACACTTAAATAAGCGACGTATCTAAGAGAGCACTTAAAATGTTTTATTCGCTTATTCACAAGAATGAGATAGACGCTATAATTGCGCTTCATCGCAAAAGAAGGAAGGAGATTAAAAGAGATGAGACACGAGTAATATGCGATTGGGGGGAGCAGCCCGATTGCATGATTCTCGACTCTGAATCGACTTATGTAGACATAACCTCAAAACGCGTCGCGAAGCGGCATACTTCAGCGAGGCTTTGTCAAACTCGATTGCAAAATAATCGAGACTTTCGCGTCAAGGAAGTCTCATTGATTTCTATGGAGAAAGAATGCAAGTCGCACAGATACGCACCTGGATCGACAGGCAGGCCTGAATCTTAGCGACTAACAGCTCCCTGGACGACTCCTCTTCCTCCTGCGTTGCAAACACCGAAGCTCTAGGTCCATCCTTGGAAAGGCACAGTCTGCAGACATTCTCCACGTTCTCGATCGCCTCCTCGTTTTCGCTCTCCACCACGTTCTCGTCCATCATGGACTACGCTAACTCGGCGCGGGACGACACCACAATTAGGACGCCGTCGCCGACACCGACGCCACGTACCCGTCTTTCAAAGGCTCCCAGGTTAGGGACACGTTGTGTTTGCGGCGTATGCCCTAACGGAATATTAGAATTAGAAATGGCTCCGGACGCCGGACCGGAACTGGACTAACTGGAGAGGGCAGAGGCAAGCGAGCGAGCACCGTTGCCACCGTTTCCGCGCGTCCAACTTGCCGGTGATGCGCCAAGATGGCGTGATCAGACGCTTGGCGAACCTTGCTTTCAGAGATGTCCGATCAGATACAGGGGCCTTAGGCTAATATTTCATTTATCGCATCGACGAAAAATATGTTCATCGTGCGTAATTGAGGATGGAAAAGTTCTTGAATTTCTAGAAATCCTCTATCTCGTACCTAATCAATACACTCGAAAAGTTTGTTGTATGATAAATATTAGACTAGTATTACTTTTGTTGCACAACAAATTTTTCATAATTATAAGGGCCATTCCACACAAACTTGCACAGCCGCATAAACATGTGCATAAAGAAAATCATCCAATCGTAGTTTACGTTTGTCTTCATGACAGAAATGTGATTGGATAATTTTCTTTATGCATATGATTATGGGGTGATCCCGATTGATCACGGCTCGATTGGACACCACCAATCACAGCGACCGGTGCTTACGAGTTTTGTAGTCTCAAGCGCTGTGAGTGGCTCATGTCCAACTGGGTGCCACCCATGATTATGCGGTTCTACAAGTTTGTGTGGAATACCCATAAGTCCGGATCTACAATAGGTGTTTCATGCCTTATGCCGTAAGAAACAGACCAATTACCCCGGATCTACAATAGATTTTTAAGCTTTAAGCCATAAGAAATGGGCGAATCACAGTCGCTTATTCTTCTCGGATTCGACTGTAAGTCCGGATCTACAATAGATTTTTAAGCTTTAAGCCATAAGAAATGGACGAATCACAATCAATTATTCTCCTCACATTTGACTGTAGTTGGTCAATTTCTTACGGCTTAAGGCTTAAAACCCTATTGTAGATCCAGGGTAAGAGGCACTATGGGCAACAATGACTGCGTTCAGCAGAGAAAGCAGCTTTGCAACTGTTGTAAAAGTCTTCAATACGATTGGTTCTTGCTTTTGGTTCCTTATAGATCTGAACGTATAAACCAATCATATTGAAGAATTTTACAACAGTTTCAAAGCTGCTTTCTCTGCTGAACGCAGCCATTGGAACCCGAGTCTGTCAAGATTGATCACATGATCAATGATGTACATTAAGCCCATTCTACATTAGACGCAAGCCGATCGCGAGTTTGTTGCGACAGTAGATGGGTGCGTTCCGTTTCTCGCATGATGCGCATAATGCATCGTTTATCCTTGTTGCTTACCAAATGTTAAACAAGGACAATGGATGCATCATGCGCATCATGCGCGATACGGAACGCACCTAATGTGAAGCGTCGATTTCAAAATGCAAGCTTCAAATTGGCTGTCACAACAAACTTGCGATCAGCTTGTGTCTAATGTAGAATGGATTTTACGCATGCGTATGCTGCGGACAGATTTTTCCTTGACTTCTCAACCATAAAGTTTGTTCTTTTTAGTTAAGGTTTTTGCACGGTTCATTTTTCTTCCTTTTCTTTCTATGTTGGAGAGGAAAAGAGAAAATATTAACCGTGCAAGAAGTTCAGCTAAAAAGAACAGACCTATAGACTCACAAAATAGATCCAGCATAGTTCCATGGTAGAAGTGAAGCTGACAAAACAGTGAGAGTGAGTGAGAGCAAAACAACAGTGAAGAATCTCTATTCTTCTCCATTACAGTCAATATGCGCGCGTAAGAGAAGGATAGAGGTTCACCGATGTTTTGTATCTCTCACCGTTCTGTCGGCTTTATTCTATCATAAGAACATCTTGCATCTATTTTGTAAGTCTATGTGTTCCCAACATACATATGCTTTCTCTCTCTTTCTTTCTGATCTGATCTGCATGGTCATTTAACCCACGAATCCGAGCACACGAAGATATTCATATGCATTTACAATCATATACATTCATTAAATGACCGCACAATCAACATTGAGAAGAAAAAGGAAATGAGATGCACTCTAATTAAAAAAGAAGAAACAATAAAAACAACTTCGACCAAACTTCAATTATAACTTAATCGCTTATTAAGATAATCAAAATTTAATCGAGGTCATCTAAGAATTGTACCCACATGCGTGTTTAATGGAATAGATGGAGTAAGATAGCGAAAACTAAAGCTTATTTTTTATATATATATTTATATAATATAATTAAGGCCCGATTGCATCAATGTTACTTTAATTTTAAGCGAGGCTTAAAACTCTCTCCTTTTCTGTCTCTCTACCGGCTTTAAAAAAAGAGATTTTTAAGCTTTGCTTAAGTCAAAGTTAACGTTGGTGCAATCTAAATATTATAAATGTAATATATAATTAAATAAAAAATAAGAAATCCGTGTGCGCGCGGCGAATCTCATATAGATCTTCCGGATCAGATTGCTTTATACCTCTTGCATGTTATTTCTTTACTTTCCCCTAGACATGAACGCTTGGAGTATAATTACTTAATGCGTGATTATAACTGAGATCAAAAAAATACAAAAACTGCTAGGACACTGTAATAAATTTACTTTACTAATAATTCATGGAAGTTTTTTGCAATCCGTTATCTAGTTTTCGAGAAATTGCAGAAAGATATCATTCGTATTTTGTTTTTATTAAAAATAATCGCTTGAGGAAACGTCTTTGTATTTTTTAATCAAACACAAAATATTTCTGTTAATTAAATTAAAATATTTCTGCTAATTTCATTTCTGTTAAATAAACAAATTCGATGATTCTGTTTTTATTCGAGTTCATATCGGAAAAAAATTAATTCATGAAGATTGTGGTGACCGGGAGACAGATGGGAATATTAAAATGGTATATATTGTACGTTTGGTCGACTTTTATTTCATATATTCCTTCTGATATATATTTGATACACGAAATTGTCATTTGTACACTGCAGGTAAAACAGATTGCACGTCATATACATCAGGATGTAACATACGTGATATAATCTTTCAATCTTCTGCCTAAACCGATTCTAAATTCGATTTCCGTTTACTGTAAAATTAACATCCGCACGTCTTTGGTACTTTCCGTTAATTCTATCGCAAAATAGAGGCTTAGAAAAATCAAGAGTGATTAAACGGTTCTTCGCAATAACGTCGATAGAGCTTTATTAAACAGTATATTAAGCTTATTGACTCTTCAACAGACAGCGGTCCTCAACTTTGCTTAGAACTCTGACATCATAACGATCGATAAATTTCCTGATTCCTTTGTTGTTGCGGATAACCATTTTCCCTTCAATTGGCATTAGTATTTCTCTTTAATATTACATAAATATCAGTTTGTCTCGATTATAAAACATGCTCATAAGCTTGATAGCGATCACAAAATGTACTTCACAGATTTCTATAGACTATCTAAATCGCCAACAAGTCTCGCGGTTTCTCACAAGTCGATCCAAGGGCAAACGATATCTGGCGAAATAATATAGACATAAACACCGACTATTCTAAAAAAAAGATTTCATGGTTCAATGCTGACGGTTGGACTCATTAAAAATGACCGCCATCTCTCTTCTTGTTTATCTCACTTTCGTCTTTCAGAACTAGCAGCTATCAGAGTGATATTTGTATAGAAGTCTGTGACGTACTCTCATCGACTACAAAGAAGAAAAAAACGAAAGAAGAGAGGAGGACGTAATCATAGGAAAACTTGAGCATATTCGTGCGCCACTCCGTTCAACGGTGGCTGCGAATCGTTTTCTCAACGTTCTTCCTACGAGATGTGACTTCTCTCTCTCTTTTTCTCTATCTCTTTCGACACGAGCTACTTCGCAACTACTTGGTACGTCGACTGAACTTGCATTGACATTTTGTTCGCTCACGCAGGCACCGCGAAAGAAACACAACCGCGCCGGGCTATAACTCGTAATAAGCACATTGTATGCAAATCGAAGATTATTCGCGCTCCTTTGTTGCGAACAGCGAACGCTAATAGAGCACAACGTAACGAACGATTACGGAATCGGTGTACGACAATCGACGTTACAACTTATGCTCAACAATCGTTTAATAATCGCTTTGAGCGCTTAATGATATATATATATATATATATACGCATATGTATGCGGATGTAGCGTACATGAAATTAGAACCATCAAGCTAAAGCCTTATTCTACGGGGGTATCCTGCGTGTGAAACTCTTTCTATCCTCTTAGAACTATTCACATTAATATACAACGTATGCGAGTAATCATTGACACATGTCTGCTTACGTTTAACGAGAACTCCGTGTTCTTCCTGACGTTATGCTAAAAAAAATTCAACTCTCTGACCTTGATTCTTTTAAGAGCGTAAACGATTTCGTACTCATCGAGCCTTTGGTATCACATATGCGGTTTGTGTGAACATTCATGACTTTTTGTTGAACGAAATAATTCCTCGTGTTTCCCGAAAATCTTGACCACTGGATGCATGCTGTGGTTTCGATTCACCCGGTGAACTTGAATCGCTTCGCCTGCGTTGTGGTTTATTCGGAAAGTTACTCTATGAATCGAGTATAAAATTTATACCGTCTCGCAAACGAATGTTACACCGATGTTCTCTTTTACGCGGAAATCAAATGAATGCCTGGCTCGCAATGGCAATTTCACGCCGTATCTCTTCGCGACCAACGCGGTTCCAGTTCGCGTGTTCTCTTAATTAACGTAAAAAAGGAAAGCAGTTCAAGTTGTCAGGCAGCTGGAGTTGAAGCAGGAGCTTCGTTGCGACTGCTGACGCACGTAGTCCTGAACGTTGAATTTCATCCCATCAGAGTTATCGCTTTTTCTAGCCTTCAGCTCCCTGAAAACAAGTGGTATCGTTTAGTTTCATCGATTTTATCTAGCTCTAACCTTCCTTTCATAAATACATGAAACGCTTTCTAAGCTCAAATAACTTTTATTTTAACTCATCTATCTTTTATTTGTTTTTGAGTCTCTAAAAACTTTCAATTTCAAAGATACATGGAAAAATTGAAGTTAAAAAAAAACGTGGACGTGAAATTGATTAAAAATCAGTTTCAAGCATTGTTTGTTCAAGCATTGTTTATTCAAGCATTGTTCGTTCACGCTATATGTAGATTCGTCGATTTTGTCGAGACCGTACCGAGCAACGGCGAGAAACGCCAATTCGACATTGAGGCCAGTCTTGGCAGACGTTTCCATGAACGGCACTTTGTACTCCTGCGCTAATCGCTCGCCGTCTTCCCGCTTAACGGCACGCTCCGTCCCACAATCGGACTTGTTACCTGCGGTTTAATACAGCGACGAAAAGATAAATTACCACAAAATATCCAACTTTTCCACGATAAAGCTAACAGCGTTCTCAATCATTGCGATCTCGACTGCCTATGAACAATTAAGGTCAATTTACGTGAGCCAGCAATCCACACGAGGTATATTCGGATCAAAATTAGATTTGAAATTGAAAACTGAAAATTGACACGTAAAGCTGCGAATGGTCGATAATATTTATATTCTTTTTGTACTTATAACGAATGCATTTTCTGGCCGAACATGGGCTCGTAAAGATTGATCTTGATTGCTTTCCAAAGCAATCCAAATTGCATTAAGCGGAAACGCTACTAGTTGAACTCGATCTTTCCAGAAACCTGGATTGTTATATATATAGTTGTAAATTTTTTATTTAAATTGGATTCGATAACTGGATGTATATATCAGCTTGGGACAAGCTGACCGATAAAATTAAATCTGGGTCATTAATCGCTCTCCTGAGTTCTTATCTCAGCGTGCTAAACCATTACTACGGTCCTTATTTCTGGCGTTTAGCCTCCCGGCGATCGACCATTCCAAGTGGGCAGATCTATCGTATCATCACGGGAACCATAAATATAAACGCAACTCACCCAGCAGCATGATGACGACATCCTCGTTCGCGTGTTCCCGGATTTCGCTTAGCCAAGCCCTGATGTTGTCATAACTCGTCTTATTCGTCACGTCGTACAGCAGCAAAAGCGCTGGAACACGCAGTCTTGTGAATTGCCTTCTTTTTATCGACTACCTAATCGACTTTACGTCATGCGACGGTCAGAAACTTCTTATGAGTAAAAAGTATGTAAATGCATTAATTTACATCTTATACATATGAAAATATATTAAACGGTAATCGAATTCAATGCAAAAGTACAAAAAATTATAATCTGTATTAGATAACACGATTTTCTCTCACTTTTGAACATTATCCTGAAACAAATCTTATTACACAGTACAACATACATTCCCTCCCATGAAAAAATCAGAGATTCCGAAAGTAGATGTAAAAAAAAATACCCGTGTCTCGGCGTTTTACCAGATCAAGTTATGCAGCCATTTATCGTATTTGCTTCATATTGGCTTTTTACAATTGTTTTAAATTATATAACAATTTTTTAAAATAAATAATTGATGTTTTTGCATGTGAAATTATGCGATGAGTCTGAATAAAAAAAAAACAATTGAAAATTATTTTTTTCATATATTTTCAAATTTTCTTATCGCATAATTTCACATGCACAAAAACGTCGATTATTTATTTGAAAAAATTATTATATAATTTAAAACAATTGTAAAAAGCCAATATGAAGCAAATATGATAAATGGCTGTATAAAAAACGTTAACGACTTGATCTGATAAAACGCCGAGAAACGGATATTTTTTTTTTACATCTACTTTCAGAATCTCTTTGATCTGTTCATGAGAGGAAAAAATCGATTTTTGTGGTACTGTGTTAACATTACGTTTAAATCTTTAGATATATTGACTATTTAATTATTTTATATTTAAACTAGTATAGTTACTATAGTTGTTTAAAACGTTTTACGAATTACAAAATCAATTGACTTTCGAACTTTGGATGTTTCGATTCCGCGTGATTTAAATGGTTTAATCTTCTAAATGAGTGTCTAATTATTGTCGAATTCACTCTGGAATGATTGCTTTCGAAGTTGAGATGCGACGCAGCGTTATTGTCGCAACAACTTCAGAACTCAGATGGATAAACAATGAGATTTCCCCTTCAGACTCTCTGTATTACTTCTCCGTTATCTATATAAGTAAATCGAATCTGGCACCTGGCCAAAACTGGCGGAGTAACAAAATCGAGAACAGCCTAGGATTCGGGTTAGCAAATTACAAATGGTTTATGCATTGTAAAGTTGAGTTCGAGTGATAGTGGTAACGTCCCAAATTGATTATTTTAAGTCCGAAAACGGACCGGATTCGTCTCGGTTCGAGTGTGACCAACAAAGTCGGGACGAGCAATTAAGATTTCCCCGGAGACACACCAATGCTTTTGTTTCGTACGTTGGAAAGTTTATTGTTACATGCACAAGATGTCTCAAATTCCCAATCCCAAAACTAATTTTGTTTAGATAGATCCTTGAAAAACAGGAAAGAATATATTTAAAAAAAACTCAAATTCTAAAGTACGAAATTATATCCATTAATTTTTACACTTTTCGTACACAATCTTAACGTTTTTAAACACCCGAAAATTAATTCCAAAATTGATCCCGAAAATTAACAGACGTTAATTAATTACACATGAAATTAAATAACAATAATTCAAATTGTTGAAAGTTTATTTAAAATTAGAAAAAAAAATATATAGGATATCAAATAATTTTCTTATTACGGAAAAGATGATTTTAAAAATCAATGGATTTGCAAATTAAGAAAAGTTCAGAATTTGAAACTCCTTACATAATGGGCAATCAATAATAATAATCGGATAAAATTTCATATTTCGTAATTGTAAGAGAAAAGCTCCCCTATTAAACCAAGCGCGCATTAAACATCCGACGCTCCAAAGTGTCATATCTCTTACCAAGAGAGATGTTTCTCATTAATTTCCGCTGTGTAAAACGAGGAGCTAGTAAAACATATGTACAGCTTCGAGACCGGTGGCATTTACGCGATAATTAAATTGTTACGAGATATTACAAAACACGTGGAAAATCTTTGTCAACGATATCGTATTTATCAATGACGCAAACTGTGATAAACATGTTTCTAATTAAGAATATCATCACGTCAATTTTATTTCAATCTGGTAAACTAATCTGGAGATATATGTATATATATGTATGTACATACACGCTCATTTATTACAATAATGACACAATTCAGAAAGCAAAGGTTTTCTGAAAATGAGTTTGAATGTTTCGAATAATTAAAATATTGGAATATTAATTTTAATATATAATTTTGGGGTGCAAAATAATTAATTGTAGAGGAATAAAAGTATGTTCTTTTAAAATATATTTTTTCCTTTTTTCTCTATATTTTCATACTTTTTTTGTAATGAATTAAAAAATGTCAATTTTTAAGTTATTTTTTGTTGTAGCAAATGAACAACATATTATATATATAATATGTATTTATAACCAACATATATATCTACATATATATTAAAAAACAATCAAATATTTTTAGCATAATTCGTAATGCTTGCGCAATATTAGCAATAATTTTTAAAAATTGAAAATATTTGTATTTAATTTATCTACAAATTAATTCCTTTCAATGTTACTAATTTCAATTTCGATCTATTAACTTGTACTGCGAATATCGTTCCGATCTTTATTGAAAACAGACTTGTTACGTAAAAGAAAACAGTTTACCATGTGCGTCTCGGTAGTAAGCATGCGTCACGCTTCGGAACCTTTCCTGGCCGGCTGTGTCCCATATCTGCAGCTTGATCGGCGTGTCGTCGACGGTGACAACTTTGTTCTGCAAAGGCAGGAAAGATACTTCTTTGAATTTCTGTAGTCCTACGAGGACTAAGCTTTAATAAATCACGAAGATATCGTCGTCCAATGTGAGCAACATGTACTTCGTTGCACAAAGAATCATTAATCAAAAGTTCATTCGCATTCTTTGTTAATCGTGTACAAGGTAAATGTAAAATGGAATATCTCTAAAGTCTCACCCTAAAATCAATGCCAACGGTCGTTATATAGTTTCCCGACAGGAAGCGACCGTCACGGAAACGCGTCAGAAGACAGGTTTTTCCAACGCCGCTGTCACCGAGTAACATCACCTGTATTGAGCAACGATTGTTCAGGTAATCGTTTCATTCTTATTCCATTCTTACTCGCTCATCCGTCCGCGTAATGCTGATCTCAAATTTTCATTCCGATCAAACTAATATTTTATAGAAGATGTAAAAACGTGTACATAGTGAACATACTGAAAGCTACTATACATAAAGTTAACAAAGTTAAATGTAAAAGCACATAAATATGTTAAACAATTAAACACCCGATAATAATACTGATGCACATTATTTAACGGAGTAAACATGTACAATTTCATTGTCAAAGTTGATTATATTACGCCAATGCATTTAGATAATTTATATAAAATAGCCTTTAATGTGTATCGATTCAGTAGTGCGAGTGACCAAATTCACCAATAGTTAACCATCCATTAAACAGTAGTCACAGTTTCCAGGAAGAGAGAGAGAGAGAGAGAGAGAGAGAGAGAGAGAGAGAGAGAGAGAGAGTAAAGGAAATTTAATTGAATTAATTAAATTAAAATAATAAATAGAATAAAAATAAAAAGATAAATAAATAAGATTACATTTCACGCGGGAAGTAAGGAGCGATTACGTCGCGCTTGGCAAGCGAGAGAGAAATAAGAGAAACAACAAATGCCAGCGCGTCGTCATAAGATGAGCGAGCGTATAATAAGAAAATGGGTATCAGGAAGCAAGGTAGGGACCTTGAAGAGAAGGTCCGCGTGATCAGGTGGGGTGTGCTGGCCGG